TCACATCTTCAGGGATGAGTACAGACTAAGGAGTGATGATGATGATGGGATGGAGAGAAGAGAGCCATTGGCTTAGGAAGGTGGAAGACTGTGTAGGAGGAAGGTAAAGGTTAGGAAGTGGGAAATAAAGAGAGAGATTGATAGCAGGTGGGCTGTCCACCTTGCGGGGACGGGATTAAGTCTGCCATGTCAGCATTTCAGGTCTACTGCAGCAAAGGAAGGGAAGCTAAGCTAATCTAAGCCTAAGTAGTTTGTGGTGTTTAGGGAGGGGGCCCTCCATGTCCTTTGAGTCTCTTGGTTTTTATTTTGTATATAGTGGTTCTGGTTCTGTGTTGTCATATGTTATGCTGTTTGGCCACCAGTTACGTGTTCTGGTAATGTCTTCTTGCATTAATTGTTGGAATATGGGGTCTTCTAGTTCTTGTAGTTTTCCCATATTGCTAATGACTGATTATGTGTTACATAAGAACTTAAGAAAATAAGGAGTCTGCAGTAGGCCGGTTGGCCTGTGCATGGCAGCTCCTGTCGAGAGTTACTACCACTCTCTATCATCCATGAATCTATCTAGCCTCCTTTTAAAACTTTCCAGCGTTCCAGCACTTACTACAAAGTTGCTAAGCTTGTTCCACTCGTCCACCACCCTATTAGTGAACCATTTCCTTCCTATCTCCTTCCTAAACCTAAACTTATCCAACTTAAATCCGTTGCTACGAGTCCTATCCTGCTCGGATATTATAAGAACTTTATCTATGTCGCCTTTATTGATTCCTTTCACCCACTTAAATACTTCTATCATATCTCCCCGCACTCTTCGTCTTTCTAGGGAATGCAAGTTTAGTTTCTTTAACCTATCTTGATATAGAAGGCTTCTAAGTCCCGGAATCATTTTCGTCATTCTTCGCTGCACCGACTCCAGTGAATTGATATCCATTCTATAATAAGGGCACCAGAACTGAGCCGCATAATCGAGGTGAAGCCTGACTAACGCAAGATACAGTTGCAATAAGACCTCTGCACTCCTATTACTGACACTTCTAGATAAAAAACCTAATACTCTGTTTGCCTTATTTCGAACATTAACGCACTGTTTTCTAGGCCGTAGGTCCGGGCTTATAAGTATCCCTAAGTCTCTTTCACAAGTCGACTTCTCTAGGTTGATGTTGTTAAGGCTGTATACATTGACAGTATTTGTTCTTCCAATATTAAGTACGCTGCACTTGCTGGTGTTGAATTTCATTTGCCATTTTCCTGACCACCCCTGCAGTTTATTTAAATCCTCCTGTAGTGCATTTACATCCTGTCCTGAATTTATCTGCCGCCTATTTTGGTGTCATCCGCAAACTTGCTTATGTCACTGCTGATCCCAGTATCTAGATCGCTTATGTAGATTATGAACAAGAGTGGGCCCAGTACTGACACCTGGGGAACCCCTCTGGTTACACAGCCCCACTCAGATTTAACACCATCTACGCTGACCCTCTGCGTTTTATCGGTGAGCCATGACTTTATCCAATTTAAAACTTTCCCCTCGATACCATGAGCCTTAACTTTTCTCAGAAGCCTCTGATGCGGTGCTCTGTCAAATGCTTTGCTAAAGTCCAAGTAAATTACATCGTAATTTTCGTCATTATCTACTACCTCGAAGACTTTCCTAAAAAACGTCAGCAGATTTAAAAAACGTTGATTGTGGTTAGGCTATGTTCTGTGTGTAGCTCGCTGGAGTTTTTTGTATATGGTGGTCTGAGTTTTGCTGCTCTTCTAAGGGCTACGTTTTGAACTGCTTGTATTTTGAGTTTATTTGATATTGTTATAGTGTTGAGTGGAATTTGGGGGATATTCCAGGTGTGGTCTGACAAGTGCTTTGTAAAGGTGTAGTTGTGTATTGGTGTTTAATTTGCTGAATATTCTGAGTTAAGTTAGTTGAGTCTTGGCTTTTGCAATTATTTCTGTGATAAGTGGTAGTATGCCGTTTCTTGTAATTTTGAGGCCGAGGATTTTCCCATTTTCTACGTATGGTATGTTTTGATTGTTGTAGAAGCCTGAAGAGTCAATGGTTTATGTCTAAGCAAGTTATTGGAAGCACCAACAACTTGTCCCTGAATACGAATTCGCAACTTTCAATTTACAGCAGGTACCTACTTTGCTGCTAGGTGAACAGGGACCAAGGGGACTAGGAAGAGTGTCCAAACAACTTCTGCCGGCCCGGAATGTGAGAGAAATTTTTGTTAAATGGTAATTTTAAGAGATTCTTATTGTTATGGGTTGGCTTAGGATCAGTTCTATAAAAAGATTTCTTAGTAATGTTAAGGCATTTGTCTATAAAAGACCTAGGGTACTTAAGGTTCAAGCCAATATTATAGATATATTCCTCATCAATGAATTCCGGACTGCATATTCTTAGAGCACGTAAAAACATTGATGGAAATACTGACTGTTTGACTCTATTATGGTGGGCAGAATAATAATGAATGTATGAACAAACAAAGAATCCCTAACCTTAATATCTCTGAAGGCCATAATAAAGCATTCTATACAAACAATTGAACCATAAAGGTCATATTCACCAGCTTAGGGATAATCCTAATACCGCAGATCCACCAGGTCATTCCTAACCCCATCCTCTCTTTTGTGTCCGCACTTCGCCTAAACATCAGGTGGCGTTGGCCCATTTATTGTAGGTATATATTCCTTTTGGGCCTTAGTTAGTTTTTAGCAGGTGGTGGTTCTTTCAGGACGCTCATTTGTGCCAGTATCCAGAAGAGTCCTGATATCCCATGCAGCGACCATAAGAGGTTACATAGTTTTTTGTTTTGTTTTGACCTGTTGTGATATTTTCGACCGCATTGGAATGACCTTACTGGGTGCTGTTGTTCAGTCAGGAGAGAGTATGTTTAGGGCACCTTCTCTAGCTCTGTGTGTGTATGATACTTCAGCATTAATTGAAACGAACTTTTTCCATTATATTTAAATTTCGAAGTGACTTACACCTATTTCTTTTGCTCTCTGTGAAAGGAATCAATGACCTCATCCATCTGACCCTCTGTTTACATAACACTCCATGTGAGATGATTGACCATACAGTATATTGCAGTACGGTATATTTCACATAGTTGTATCAAGTCTCTGACCTTCACTCTAATCATTCCAGAAACCAGATTCCTACTTTTCTTACATAATACTTTAGTTTACACATGTGTCAAACGCCTTGCTCTTAAAACTCTAACAAACCATAAGCATCATAGTCACCAGAAAACATCTAATACACACATTATACTTCATAAAAATTTGCATAACCCTGCCCGTCTCCTACATTATGACGCCCTGATTTAATTCTATCCCGCAATCTCCTCACGTCGCTCATCGACCTCTCACGTCCGCCATAACTCTCTCCTACACCTTTCTCTCTCCCTGCTACCTCCCTACTTTTTCTACTTATTGATAATCCTCCACTTCACTTATCGCTCATAGTCCCCTTCCTTTACCTCCCTCACTGTCCCCCTCTTCCTGCCCCTTCACTATGTTCCTCCTCCTGCCCCCTCACAGTGTCCCTCCCCCTGCCTCCTCACTGTGTCCCCCCTCCTGCCCCCCCACATGTACTGTACAGTTTATTAATGAAGTACCAGGGCACTGTGGATGCCAGAAGCTGTCATGCTATAAACAACGTTTACTTATCCTACACATAGTGTCTAGTCTAAGAAAGAACTATCATTCCAAGTTTTAGCGAATATATCGCGGAAAAGTTGAGCCATCCGAGGAACGCATTTGTATACCTCGTGAACAGTTGGCAGACTTGTGGAACAATGAAAAATGTATCTAGTCAGGCGTACCAACTGAATAGATGTAGTCATGGTTACGCTGTCAGTAAAATCCGCCAGGTTTCATCATTCATCGGCCAAAGCTAGGAAGATACTTCTTTCATAAACTGTACAGTACATGTTCTGAATACAGTTTTCCTGTGCGATACATAGTTCTCATTATATCTTATGTACAATCTGCGTTCTGCTTACAGTTCTCCATCCTAAGGACAGTACTTTAAAAAATTTAGTATCTTCCCTTTTTATACACAGTATAACTGCCCTACACTTGATCCTCCTGCTGTACATTAATCCTGCTTACCAAACACACAATTTGTTTGCCCTACGAATAGTTTTCTTGTTCTATATACAGTTCTCAATTCATAACGGGTACTCACTGCCTTCTCAGTGGGGATTAACACCTCGAGGCTGCTGCAAGTTAACTAGGCTAATGATAACTTTGATACTGCTTGCTTGCTTTGATTTGGTGGCCGTCAACTAGTAGGTTATTACGGCCTTGATATTGCTCCCTACCTACCGTCCAGGGCCGGATTTACCTACTTGTGGGCCCCAGGCATGTTTCAATGACTGACTGCATGACTGGCTGAGCGAGCTGTCAGCAAACCAACGGTAACCCTGACACGTACTGAAAATGAAACGATCCTGTCCTTCACACGTCAAGACGCTTTACTCTCTCTCTCTCTCTCTCTCTCTCTCTCTCTCTCTCTCTCTCTCTCTCTCCAGTATATATGTATATATGTATGTATAGATAGATAGATCGACGGTGGGACACGGACATTTAAAAAATGTATATACAGGGTATATATATTTTTTTCATTATCTTATTTTATCTTATTTTCTTCATTTTACTTTAGGGCCTAGTCCGTGGCCCACATGAGAACCACCCCATGGCCCACCAGTTGAAGACCACTGCGGGCCTCTTCTTATTGTACAGGGGCCCTATACTCCGGGCCCTATACTTATTGTACAGGGGCCCTTATGGTTGTGAATATATTATTTAATGAAATACTCGGTGTACACTTGAAACAAGGTTGTACGCTGGCACGATGCGCGACAAATTAGTTTCAGTGGGCCCCCAGATACCGGTGGGCCCTAGGCCAATGGCCTACTTGGCCTATTGGTAAATCCCGGCCTGCTACCGTCCCCCCACTCTCACTATTGAGCTAAAGTCCTCCCATGTTACAGAATTCCGTGAGGCGTTTCGTCTGTTTGACAAGGACGGGGATGGAACTATAACCAAAGATGAGCTGGGACTGTTCATGAGGAACCTAGGACAGTTCACCACAGAAGAGGAACTCGACGTTATTCTCGACGAGATCGACATTGACGGTAGGTGGTACACCTGTCATCTCTTGGCCGGTCTACACTCTCAAAAGTCCATACTTTTTAATTATTTCCCTAACCTGGTGTTGTGGGAATTTGTCTAACTGACCAACAAAAAAGGTGATCAACATGGGGTCGAACTTAAAGAGAAAATACACTCCAGCTAGAGGCGTCCTTTCATTTGCATAAAAATAAAAAATAAAATACTTTATCTTTGAAAATTTGGGACCAAGTTTAGTTGAAGCTGTAGTAAAGCCAAGTACAATATTAGTTTATTTTAATCACTAATTCTCATTATTTTCAGAAGAATCACTTCAGTGCACTAAAAAATCTGAATTGTTATGATATATACGTATATGTATCTTGTTTACATAATATTCTGTTAAACTATTGTCTACCCTTTTTTTTCAATGAGAAACGTTAGTATTGCTGGTACAGTGACATCGTGCAGTGGCAGAAGGTTGTGTGATAAGACTGACACAGTGTCAAGGAACACATCTCTTACCACCATTAACTATATTGATAGTTCTAGAACCAGTCCTGGTACTGTACACTAAAACCAATACCAATAATTTTATTCCTGCTGTCGTTAATTTAATCCTTGTCCTAGATTTAATTTCGCTAATTATAGGTCTAATACCTTTAATTCTAGTTTTACTATCTTAATCCCTTATCTTAATATCAGTATTCCTATTCCAATATGAATATCTCAGTCTTAAGACATTATTCCCGGTCCTAAATCTTGTTGTAATATTAAACCCCTGGTTTTAGTCCTAATACCTACAATTCATGGTAGCTGCCACTAGGCACTACAGTTGTCAAAAATGGTTATAATAAGTAAACATTAAACGTACAAAAGAGTGAAGGAGAGGTAAGACTATTTCTTTTTATCAATTAGTGGCTTCCAACCTCTCCTTATAGCCACACCTTCGCCACCAATTATTACCTAAATATTCTAATGCAAAAGTAACTACGATAGCTAAGTTTGTTAAGCCGCAGATCTATGCGGCATTAAGTGACTGTTGCCTCATAGTCAATGTCTGCGACTCTTGTTGCCTTCGGGGCCAATGATCTCGTTCCCCTGAGGCAAAACAATGCAGACCTAAATAGAGAGAAGGACAGACGACATCTCAACGTAGCTGCAACGTAGCTTCTGGGCTGCTGCTTTTGTTCAGGTAATACCTCGGCCAGTCTCATGTAGAATTATCTTGCACTTGATTCCATTCCACCAGATGTTGTAACACCAGAAAATTGAAACTGCTTTGATCCATATTCTGAATTATCTTTGAATATGTCCTGTTCTTGTCGTTCTCGTTCTTCTTGTTTGCAGCCTCGAGAAAGAGGTTACGGTTGCATGCGGCCATTGGATTGAATATTATAATATCAAAGAAGGCTCGCTGTCCCCGCGTCCAGAATCCTCGAGCACTGACGTCCACAAGGGTTTCGTTGGATGTGTTGGAAGTCCTGTGATGGAGATTCTCACCGTCCAAAGGAAAGAGGGTCGGTTCCACTGTGACTTTGTAGCAGATTTCGTTCAACATACTTGCTGTGAAATCCCTTATTTCATTATGCCTCATGCATACAAAGCCAATCTTCTTACACACTATGGCGTGGTCGATGTCGTAGGACGAGCCACACACACACACACCTCGAAATCGAGGATGGCCGGCCCTTGGGCCACCTGGCGTGAATTTTTTTAAAGTGTAGAAGCTGTCGCCAACACAACAACCACACCCTGATTTAACGAGTTGCATGACCAAGTGTCAAGGAATAGTCCGAGAAGAGGCAAATGACGTGAAGAAACTAGCCCATAGTTTCACCCTGCCCGAGAATCGAACTCGGGCCCGCTCGCTTGCGAGGCGAGGATGCTGACCATTACACAACAGGTCACCACCGATACCTAGCACACCACTACTGTGAGCTGTTTCTGTTACCTTTACGTTGGTGTCCTTAAAGCATTGTTGCATTTATATTTATTATATCGCGCGTATTTTCAGGATACTATTTATGTTCTTGGTGAACAGTGTTTAACCTGTTTCTATGTTAAAGTTTTATTTGTCTCTATGTTGATTTTTCCCATGTATGGTGTTATTAGATTAATTTTCTGTTTTAAGTTTGCCTGAGAAGTTCACGGTTTGTGGTGCAGTTCGGGTAGTATTTGTTATAAATATTTTGTTGTTCTTTGTTTTGCAGCACCTGTGTGTGTCTTCATATTTGTTTCACCTAAAACCACCGACAATTGCTTAAACTATGGGCACAGTTGTTCCACAGAGTGTGTGTCTGACATTGCCTCCAAATAACCGGGTTAGCCAGAAGAGCCTGACAAAGGATTTATGAACAATAAATAATAATACAAAAACTAGCTCTAACACTCTACAGTACAGACATACTCCCAGGATGAGGCAATGGTTGTATTAATAAATAGGCTCAGCTGAATCAGTCCTAGGACAAACTGGCAAAGAGATTTTGTAGATTTTTTATCAAGACTTGATAATATTAATTGTAACTTGTGCATATTCTGAAAGCTGCTAGGAGTGGAAAATGAATGATTGAGAGTTCATTGAACAATCATTCTTGCATTACATTCTGTCCTTGGATGTAATTCACTTCAGCAGAACACTCTGACAGTACAGTAGTTGCCACGAGGTAGGAAGTTTTATCGCACGAAAAGACTAGAAAACTACTTAAGGACATTAATTATCTGGATTACATATCAAAGTCACCTGAAGAAATAAATGATCTAGCAGGACCTGTTAATTCTTTCTCTGTGCCAGGATAAACTTCATATATTTTTTAAGTGATTCATTGGTAATCACTTGCCAGGGCTTTTTATTCCTTTAACACAAAAGAGGTACAATTTATCAAAGGGGTAATTGCCTTGAAAATCTTATTTGGATGTTCGAAAAATAATGAAGTCACTTGGGCTTGGATAGAATATTTTAAGCAAAGAAGTCAGAAGCACAACATATTAGTATTACACTGTCACGATGTCGAATCACTAATTAATAGTTTAAGATGTACTGTACTCAGAACTACCAAGATACACTCACATGTAAGTGGGGGGGGGGGTATGTATGCGTTTTTTTTATTCCATTAACCGATGAATATGTGTAAGAGGTTTTTCTTTCATATAATTCTTAATTTCTATGTTTTTTATTACCATAACTTACGAGTATATAACTTTCTTTAATTTCATTGTTTATGTTTTCTAATTTATTTTCTATATCTTATAACCTTCGTTATTTTTCAGTTATATTATCTTTTATTTTCTGATTTACTTGCTAATTCTTTTTTATTTTTTATTTTTTATTTTTTCAATGTTTTTATTTACCTGTATGTATTTCAAAATTATTTAACTATTTTTTCTTAATTTTTTAATTCTTTCAATGTATTTATTTATTTTCTCTATTTTTAATTCTTTCTTAGTGTCTTTTGTTGGTGTATTTCCTCTTACTTTTTTTTTCTCAGTCGCGCCCAGTTATATTCTGTTCAATGGATTAACCTGGAAAAACCACATAATTCTTTAACACCACCTTTTAGTATAATCATTATACTTACACGGTAGACTGCCACCACCCAGGCTTTTATTTAGAATATAACTGGCATCATTAAAATTGTTAAGTAGCGTGGTAGACGAGCTTAGGCACGTGGGTTACAGTGTTTATTTTCTGAGAACCAATTGTTAGAAAAGCGGTGAAACTCACAATAGACTAAATCAATATTTATTTATATCAAATGTGAATAATATGACAAGTTGTACCTTTATCCACAACACCAAAAACTAGGTTCAATCACTGATTACTTTACTGCAACACTCAGACAAGAACGGACCACTAGGTCTTACTTTATAAGTAACAAAAATTGATCTTCAATTAACATCCAATATGTATACCTGCTTAAGGGTATTATTATAGAGCATTGACAATAAAGATGGTAACTTCTCACACTACTTCTGTGGGTAATAATATTTAGAGTAACCTGCTTTCACAGAAACATGTACCTGCATCTCAGTTGTGATTATACATTGATGGTTCCTCACAACTCATATAACAAACTCTGTTACTGATAATAACAATATTTATGGTTTCAATACTCAAACTGGGACAATCATATTTCTGCTAATTATCCACAATCATATACATTTAAAGAATAATCCTTGGCATCAGTCAACATCGTATACACCAGGCTTGCAGTGCTTATGTTTACTACCACAAACAAGTGAATTGTGCTATTAGCGTCGGTTAGACTCCAGTGAGCACTGCTGGAGAGCTCGTCCTCCCATGGTTAGCTCCCAATTTTAATCTCGTTGAATTAAAAACATCCGGTCTTGGACATCCTGCTCGTAGGCAGCTACCGTTCCCCAGTAGCTGCAGGTATCGGCAACAACACACACCATACCTGAGATACGATGAGAGAGCGTCAGAAAAGTTTAAACTCAATTACAAATTATCACGTACGTATGGCAAGGAAGATGCATGGCATCGACACAGACAGAATAGGCAAACTGTACTCCAAGCTTTGTCAATAAATTTGTTAAATTAAAAAAAGACGATGTCTAGGTTACATCATTTCTTACTTGGCACATAAGATTTTCAACTATGTTAAAACACAAACACTGATATTAAACAAAGTTTAACTAAGTTAAATTCACTTAATATGTCAAACGTAAGGCACTCGTTACATACCTGAGATATGATGGGAGAGCGTCAGAAAAAGTGACTTTCTTTCCCGTGCACGTTGTTATATATATACGAGGCAAATGGCAATTCAGTCTCAGACGCGTTGAAGGTGTCACTTCACGCATTTACATACATTTCATTTAAATCAGTTGCTGTACATTTAGCTATGAAAATAAGTGTCATGGTTAGATCAATTTCTTAAGTCTTTTGTTTACAATCTAATCAATATTATGGCTTGCAAGGCAATACTGAAATTGGAGTCAAACACACAAGCTAACAACGTCATTCTTACGACCTCTTCAAAACATGAAGAAGGGTGGACTGAGA